CTTATGAGATATTGCGGCGTGTTGGGGAGGTTGCTTATGAGCTTGCCTTGCCTCCCAGCCGAGCAGGAGTTCACCCGATATTCCACGTGTCTATGCTCCGGAAGTATCACGGTGATCTGACTCATGTATTGGATTTCAGCTCAGTCCAGTTGGACAAGGATCTATCTTATGTTGAGGAGCCAGTAGCCATTTTGGACAGGCAGGTCAGAAAGTTCAGGTCAAAGAATATTGCTTCAGTAAAGGTCCGGTGGAGGGGTCAGTCGGTCGAGGAGGCGACTTGGGAGACTGAGCAGGATATGCGCAGCCAGTACCCTCATCTTTTCACAGTTTCGGGTATGTCCTTATACTAGTTCGAGGACGAACGATTATTTTAAGAGGGGGAGGATGTAACGACCCGGTCGGTCGTTTTGAGAATTAGAGCCCCGATCCCCTAATAACTGTTTTCCCCACGTTTGTTTCCGCTATTGGGACTTGCCGGAGTGATTGGTTATGAAATTCAGAGAGTTTTGGGAAACTTAGTCCCTAGTGGTGAGTTTAAGCCTTAGAGTTTGGACCGTAGTCGAAACTGTATGAAGACGGATCCGGAATGGAATTCCGTCGACTCCATTAGCTCCGTTGAGTGATTTTGGGGTTTAAGAACACGTCCAGAATGTGTTTTGGGGGTCTGTAGTAGATTTAGGCTTGAATTGGCAAAAGTTAATTTTTCGGCGATTTCGGGCGATAGTGGAAATTTTGATATCGAGCTCGGAATGGAATTCCGAAAATGGCTGTAGGTTCGTAATGTCATTTGTGACCTGTGTGTAAAATTTGAAGTCATTCGGACTAGATTTGATGTGGTTCGGCGTCGTTTGTAGAATTTGGAAAACTTTAAATTCTTAGGCTTGAATCTGTGCTTAATTCCTGATTTTGGTGTTGTTCGACGTGGTGTAAAGGCTCGACTAAGTTCGTATGGTGTTTTAGGATTGGTTGGTATGTTTGTTTGAGGTCCCGGGGGCCTCGGATGTGTTTTGGATGCTTAACGGGAAGGAACTTGGACTTAGGAGAAATCTGGTGCCTTTACTGGTTCTGGTGTTTCGCACCTGCGGAAAAGAGACCGCAGGTGCGCGAGCCGCACATGCGGAGATGGAAGCACAGATGCGAGAAGTCGAGAGTTGTCCTGGGGTCGCAGGTGCGAGGAAGTTCCGCATCTGCGATGCCCGCAAATGCACAAGGTTGTTCGCAAATGCGCAAGATGCGCAGAAGCGAAAGGGATGTCCGCAGGCACAAGTGCGCAGGTGCGGCCCTTTCGTCGCAGGTGCGAAGGCAGAGGGGGCAAGTGAGTTGCGCAGATGCGCACGTTTTCCGCACAAGCGCACCCGTAGGTCGAGCCCAGGTTCCGCAGGTGCGGAAATACCTGGGCAGTGATTAAAACCGAAGGGCTTCGCGATTTTTATCATTTTTGGCTTTGCAAACTCGGGTTAGGGCAATTTTTGAGAGCATTTTCGAGGCATTTCTTGAGGTAAGTTCCTTGTGCTTATTTTTGGTCAATAATCTTGTCTTTCCATGTATTTTTCCACCTAGTTAATGTGTATTTAAGGTGGAAATTGGAAGTTGGAGGCTAGGGATTTGGAAGTTTGAATTGTGGATTGGAGGACCATTTGGTGTCGGATTTTAGTGAATTTGATATGGTTAGACTCGTGAGTGAATGAACTTTCTAGTTTCGTGAATTTTGTCGGATTTCGAGACGTGGGCCCGGGGGTCGGGTTTTGGCCTAATTTTTGTAGTTTTTCTTGTGGGATTCATTCCATTAGCGCGTATTGATGGTATTGTACTATTCTGAATAGATTCTGGCCATTTGGAGTCGGATACTCGATGCAAGAACATGATATCGAGTTGATTTGAGCGGTTCGAGGTAAGTGGCTTGCCTAACCGTGTGTTGGGGACTTCCCCCTTAGGATATCTTGATATTATTTGGTGTGTGGGTGCCGTGTACGTAAGGTGACTAGTACGTACACGGTCTATTATTGCAAAAATTCCGTTTTTCCTTTCTAAATCATAAATTATTTTTTCCTTATTAAATTGCACTAATACGTTAAATTGTGAAACTTAGAGTAGAGAAGCATGCTTACGTGTTTTAACTGCCTAATTGACATTCTGTGCGTCATGTTTAGTTAAGTTCTTATTTGCCTTATCTGTGTCCAGTATAAACTGTAAAACTCGATGCCATACCTGCCATTTCATCTTGCGTTGCATATTTAAATTGGGACTACGGACGTATTCTGGGAGATCCCCTTATACTGCATATTTAAATTGGGACTACGGACGTATTCCGGGAGATCCCCCTGTACTGCATATTTACTTTAGGACTACGGACGTATTCCGGGAGATCCCCCAGCACTGCATATTTACTTTGGGACTACGGACATATTCCGGGAGATCCCCCATGTACTGCATATTCATTTGAAACTACGGGACGGTATCCCGAGAGATTTCCCACTGTGTTTACCTTGTTCTGAGCCGAGGGCTCCCTTAACTGTTAAATTTTTGAGAATTTCTTTAACCGTGTTACCGTAAAGTTTACTTATATCTTTTACTGTTTAATTTATTATATTTACTCCGGTAGGGCCTTGACCTGACCTTATCACTACTCGATCGTTAGGCTTGGCACTTACTGGGTACCATTGTGGTGTACTCATGCCCTTTCCTGCACATGTTTTCGTGTGCAGATTCAGGTACGAGCTATCAGCCTTGGGGTTAATGCGTGTTGCTGATTCTAGGAGACTTCAAGGTATTTCTGCTTGCGTCCGCAGATCTTCGGAGTCCCCTTCTACTCCCTCGCCTAGATACTTTCTTTATTATCTTCAGACTTTTGTATAAAGCTACATAGATTATAGCAGCTTGTGACTTAGTGATATTCCGGGTCTTGGAAAATTATTTTGTATATGTCGAGTGGTACTACTCTTGGCTATTTAAAAATATGTTGTTTATCTTTAAAATGTTGTGTTTTCTTTATATTTTCCGCAATATTAGGCTTACCTAGTTGTAAAGACTAGGTGCCATCACGACACCTTACGGAGCGTTAATTTGGGTCGTGACATAGGATGTCGATGTAACACATATCTAGGTGGACACGTCTGAGTATACTTTGTATTATTAGAAAATCATCATAAAATAACTACTCCCTCTTTTTCAATTTAAATGATACATTTCGCTTATCGAGAGTCAAACTGTATGAAATTTGACTAATATTTTAAAATATCTTTTTTATCATATTGACATAAGAAAAATTACAACTTATAGTACTTTTCGTACAATTGTTGAATATCTAAATTTTAATTTTAAAATACTAAGTTGAACTAATTCAATTTAGCTTTAAAATTTAGTCAAGTTGACTCTCAATAAGCGAAATGTGTTATTTAAATTGAAACAAAATGGAGTAGTTTATACTAGTTGTCAACCAACCTCAACCTTCCTCCTCCGCCCAGACTTGGGATTGGAAACAAGAACACTTTGAAAAAGGGCAAGTATATTTGCATATGTCTGACTCAAATGAACCTATTAGGAAAGACATAAATAACTCCAGCAGACTATTGATATAACATTTGAAAACAACAAAACATTGTCGGAATGATCTCTAAATACCCGTTCAGACATGCTAAATATGAATATGAATCCCACACATTATTACAAGAGCACATTTTGATCTCTGAGAAGTTTTGAGCAAAACATCACCACATTTCTTGCTAGAGAAATGACATGAAAGTTTTAAAGAAAAAGCAGCAAAGAGAACACAAAGCATATAGCAGGCATAAATTACATCTCCTCTGTATCTTCATCTGCATGTTCCTTGAATCTTTCTCCGCTTCTTCTCAAAGGCCAGGCTTTCTGAATCTAACCTATTAAAGAAAAATCTCCAAGATGGCCCTCGAGTAAACGTAAAGTGAAAACAGCGAGAAATTAGAGTTCATAGCCCTTTTCTTTATAAGCAACACATATCGACATTAGCTTATATGATTCAACATATTTAATTTCAACCAAATGACAATTGTTAAAATATGATCTCCCCTCCTTATCATTGATGTAGGAGGACTTTTCTTTTTGGCAACAATTCATGGCCACCTTTTCAAGAGGTTAAAGTGATAATTCTTTTGATGTTGTGGGGAAGCCCTGGTATACAAGTAGTAGACAATAGATAAAGATATGGTTCTCTAAGCAAGGCACCTTCCCAAAGGTTTGCTGTTCCTAACATATTTCTATCACCAAATCTACCTATTATTTGATTCAGGGCTCTTTCTTCCATTGTAGAACTGAAAAGTACACCATGTACAATAAAACACACGGTCTAAAGAATCAAACAAAATTAACCGAGGAATCAAATTCACGTTGAGAGACCTAATATTATTTGTAGTTCACCTTAACATGTTTGTCTACTCAATGAACAGTGATTTTTAGTGTTCCTCTTATATCAGGAAGGAATTAGCAAATAATAGCAAGAGCAAACTACCATGACTCTTTTCCCCCTCAAAATTTTGTACACACACAAAAGAGTACTAAAGAAAACTACAGCAACAACAAACAACGAACATTACAAAGCCCTCATGTAAGTGAATTTTTGATAGGATTGAAGGAATGGCCAAATTCAGAAGATGGACATAAGCATGCTGTACACGGATTTTATGAGCTCAACTAATGAAATAAAATAAACACGACATAAAATGACTCAATTACTGCATTGATATAGACCAAACCTGAAATAGTTTTATAGAGCCATTTTCCTAAATATAAATAAATATTTGTGTACATTGTGCAATGATTTTTCTAAATCCTTTCACTGACCCTGTATATCACAATTAAAAGGCCGTAAAACAATCACATGCAACGAATGTAACAAACTATTTATCACAGTCGTCAACATACTCCTATTTAGTAGTTATGCAGAAGAAATCCTATTGCAATCAATAGGTTAATTCTTACCTAATGATTCAACACAGTTCATGATCAGAAGTCAAAATATTTAATGGATATTGAAAGTTCATTGTTGATGATTTACTTACTTGAATCAAAGGCGTAAACTTTAAGCATGTTGTTTCCCAATTCCTCATGCTTTTCCTGGATCTGCTCCGCAAAAGTCACAAGAGGATGACGACAATTATGTAACTCAATTAGCTGCAGCGTCACACTATCTGCAAATCCTTCTGGGATCTCTTGTAAGTATACGCAATCTCTGATGTATACACGCTCAAGGCATTGGAAATAATCATCGGTGGCTGTCCAATATTTAAGAAACAAATACTCAAGGAGTAAAAACTTCAATTTAGGGAATCCCATCTCTGTTATTTCCCACTCATCGCCTGAGAAGGCATCCTCCTTCAATTCGAGCACCTCGAGATTGGGCAACTTGCTAAAAATGTTCATGCAGTTCCATGGAATACAAGTACCGCTAAGTGTTAACTTCTTGAGATTTGGTGGGAAAGAACCTGGACTTAGATTTATTAAACATGGCTCAAAGTCACTATAGGGCAGAACTTCAACATTTAGTGCTTCGAGCTCTTCTAAATATTTAAGATTATTATGCCATCCCTTTTCACTATGAAATTCCTCTGCTTTGCCAGCAATTTCCAATTTCTTCACTTTCTTAATCCCTTCAAATATTTCCTTGGTGCAACAAGAAGGTCTCAACCCAGAAACAGTTTGTAAGTTTTCCAAAACCAAGTTCTTCACCTCATTTTCTGATGTCGTCTGAGGAGAGGCCAAATACATACACCAACAATGGAGATGCCTTAACTGAGATAATTTCCAAATTCCATTTGGTAAGGAGTACATTTTCCATAAACTAGTGTATATTGGATGTGGACGAACAGTGAGAGTTTGTAAATTCAGAAGTTTAGAAATTGGTAATTTTCCAGACTTCCTAATCTTCAATGCCAAATACCTTAAAAGAACTAGGTCTAGTATAGCTTCGGGAAAACGGATATTTGTAAAATACTCCAAGTCCAATACCCTAAGAAGTTTGAACGGAAAGCTTTCTATATCAAGGAACAGACCAGATTGGTGGATAGAAAAGGAACGTAATTTGCTATAAGAAGGATCATGGAATTGATGGCGACCATAACCCGGACGAATTTGTTTTGATACCCACCTACAACCTTGAGGAGAAACCCATCCGAGTCCTTTAGTTTTGGTAGTTTCAACACACAAAAGACTCTGGCTGTCGGATTCTCTCAACAAGAAATCATGAACAAGATCATGAATCATACATGTCATGATTTTACCATCCAAACTTCGCTTGCTAACTATAACAAGACTTTTATAAATAAGATAGTCTAAATGACTAGCAGTCACTTCTTCCAATCCCTCCATTCCCTTTACCTTTAGGAGCCCTTCCGCAATCCATAATCTAAT